AGTCGCCGCGGCTTCTAAAGTGGTCAATTGTCTCGGCTCTAAAGAATGAAAGAGCTAGATGATGCAACGACGTAGTGTGGCATTAATTTGGGGGGCCGCGGAATCGTGACGATGAAGCGGGCATGGGTTGAATTCATAACCTTTAAGGAGAGCGCGGGGGTGGAATCGAGAAGTCTGTGCGTAATCGGTAAAATAGGTGATGACTTCGAACTAGTTATGTAGGTATCTCGCTTCTGACTCGAAACGGAAAAAAGTCAGGGATTTGCATCCTGAGCTAGACGTAGTAACTGTCCTAATAGATCTAGGTTAGCATAGTTATATTACTCTGTTTTTGCCCCTGGTATATAATATGCACTATGTAGGTCAGGTCTATTAATGAGGTTATTGTTTAATAGAGACCTTTTGAGGTCTTAGCGAGGGTCAGTGGAGACTAGTAGAGACTTCATATACAGCATATATTCGAATGGATAGGGAACACATATTCGCTCTCCGAATCATATGCGACATCTAGGATATGCTGATGTTGTGAGAGCCTAGATGGAGTGAGATACTACTACCAAACCAGGCTGTGCCTCCGCGATGACCCGATAGAACTTGACAATTAGTGAGCTTCTAGTGATACGCACATGACCGGACTAGGGTCGAGAGAGTGCCACGTAAATCCTTTAATCGTAGCTAAGTAAGTAGTCCATTGCTCTTCACCACTAGCGCCGTCGAACACATTTATCTACCCTAATTCTCCCATTGTTTTGTTAGCTACCGATGGCGTTTTATTTGTACGTTGGCTTGAGGTGTTTCGACAATTAAAAATAAGGAAGAAAAACACTTTAAAGGGGACAATTCGCCTTACAGATACAAAACTGAAAGCGAACCATCTAATCTGCAAACCAAAGGATACGCACAAGTAACCCTCGTCATTCTTCACACTCTCCCAGTTCCTCAAATTTTTCTTCGAGATATATGGAATCACAGCGATATAAGACCTTGTTTAATTATGTACAGAAATATGTGGCATAGTAAAAGCCATAAGCAAAGGGATTTTGAAGATACTTGGCAAACACTAACATCATTTTATACTTTGCGATAGTTGAAGAAACAGGCCAGAACAGATAAGATAAGGCCTACTTTCCTAGGACAGCCTGTCATGTGCGTAAGTAGGCTAGTGTCAGGAGACCGGTGAAAACGTGAAATACAAGGGCGCTCAGAAGACAAAGAAGCCATTTAAGTGTAACGGAGCTGTCCATCCGTATACCTTTAGTTCTAGCTCCTTGAAACAATGACATTATCTATCACCTATCTCAAAAGGGGCCTAAATCGTGACAATTATATAGTTGTTACCTAAGGTAATAAGTATGAAAAAGCTTTATTCATTCGTATAATAAGTTATTGATGTGATACTCGTTCACCTTACAGTTGTACGTTACAGCTTTAGGGTCGTAACGGGTTGAGATGTATGATATTAGTAGTCAGCTAATCTCTTATAGCCTTAGAACGCCTCTTGCCAACATGTAGTCTCTCAAATGGCGCCTATATCATGAGATTGCATTAAGCTGGTCGTATAATATATATTTCTTATCGGCTTCTCTACCAGTCAATTATCCCCTATTTCCTTCCTTGCATTATTTACTATAGTTCGCCTCCAAAGGATGTTGTCAGAAACCTTGCAGCCAGCCACTTTCGTGACTCTTGCTGGAGGGAGGCTTACAGTGGTGGAAACGAGACGAACAAGGATATTTAGGATAAGGCAGCCCTTAGAGTGTAAAACGACCATCTGTCAATATACTGTTCATTCTAGCTCTTCGCACGACGACGTCATTATCACCCGTTCACATAGATGGCTTGAATCGTGACAAATGCGACATGCGTGTAGGAACCTCCCATATAGCTCCGAAGGGGTGAGAAAGCCACTCACACCCTTCAAGTCATCCAATTAGACCATTGCTTAACCATCGTGAAATAATGGGTAGGTTTTTAATGGTTCTATATAATCAGGTCATGTCCAAGCCCAGACCGCTACCGAACGATGTCAGCTTCCATAGCAAAATAGCCTTGGTTACACGTACTAATGTTTGTCTCAGCTTGGAGGCCTGCAAGGAGCTGGCTATACACAGTCTGGCTCGTATCACTCTCGGGGCTCGGAGCCAAGCCCCGAGGGCGAAGTGGCGAAGAATAAAATGATTGGTAAAAACGCTGGTATTGGTATTCAGTCTAAGAGATTTACCAGGAATTCTTCGATTCAGGCATCAAATAGTTAATTGATCGAGCCATAGTCCTTGATTGAATAGAGTTGGATACCCATAAGGCCAGAGTCAAGAACATAGGGTTTACTAACCAAGTCCAAAAGAGACAATGAGCATTGAATGGATACGCCGCGCGCTAGACAATGGCGTCATCTCGAACCTTCTACGCTACCTAAGTTCCAATATAGATTTACTACCTGGGAACTACACTCCTCTCATTCCTTACTTTTGGGCTTCTGAAGAGGTTAGGGGTAGTAATAAAATGTGATCATTTAACTCCTTAGCAAAAAGGCCCTGGGCATAGGCTTACTAGGAAACTCAAGAATTGGGGACAGACACTTAATTGTGTATGCACTAACTTTACTTTTTATGTTTGTGCCATGTAGTTGTTTGTTCTCTTCTTGTCTGTCCTCATGAGAGTAGAGGGGTGCGGCCAGGCCTATTTACTAGAACATAATTGAAATATCCCTCTTTAGAGATCCACAAAGTATGTTTAAACATGATGCTACTCCAACTAAATCATAATCATCTCGATGAAACAAAATGTGTGAATTAAGCAAATTGAAGAATGAAAACTGAAATGAGCTTAAATACTCCTTTAAAAGTATTTTCTATTTTTAAGAGTAGTTATTACGAGATTGTCAAGTATTAAAGTTACATTTTTATACTCTTACAAATGTGTGTAACGGGCCCACAATAGGTGTCAAGATGCGGGAATATAAATAAACCTTACCTAGGTACGTCCATATATAAATTACAAATGAAAATAGGTTGTGTAATAAAAAAAAGGATCATTTGTATTTAACAAGTGAACTACCTCCATTACAACCTAGAGAGCATTGAGTCAAAGTATAGCCGATGTACTTACTGTTAGTTACGGCAAAGCGGTAGCGGAACTAACATTATTAAGTGTCGGGCTATAAACCAGAGCGTAAATTAGAGAGTACCACTTAAAACATACACAGCCCTCGTCGTAGTCAAGTGGGTAGATATTTGTTGAACTGTTGTAACTGTCGGCACGGCCAGTAGCCTCATTAGCGGCCGTATTATGACATAATACTACCTAGTTAGCTTTACTGCCATGAATCAATCGCCCGAGGCTGCTACTAATGAGTTGTTTTGAGCTAGACAGATCGATTTTACAATCCAATCTTGTTTTGACTTTCGATTAACATACAACCCAGGTCCATCACGCGGTACATAGTGATTAAGTAGACTTATGCTCTCACGTACTTGATAATAAGCAAATGGGATCTCGTTAATTTACTGCAATGCCAATCAAGACATCCACGAGTTGCCAAGTACCTTGAGCTGAAAGTAGCGAATACGGGACACTTGAGTTGTGTTAAGAAAGAAATGATATGTCCAATGCAGATACTTGTTGCACAAGGGGACAAGGGGACAAGGGGACAAGGGGACAAGGGGACAAGGGGACAAGGGGACAAGGGGACAAGGGAGCAGCCGACATGTGGAATGTACTGCATTCTCGGCAGCTGTAGTTCTCCTACCTTGCACAACAGCCACTTTGTTATCCTTACCTAAGCGTGATGCATTGTGACAGGATTTCTGATTTGCAGAAACCTCCAGCATTACATATGTACGTATAAATTGTCAATTAAAGCAGTACGACAACTTAAAATGAAGTGCCGTGAACATGCAGTAACGCAAGTCATGATTGCAGGTAATGTAAGGCACGTCGTCGATGCACAGCCCACAACATGCAGTACGTCAAAAGGAGTAAGCTGCCCCTTTTCTTCATACCCAATGAAAAGAGAGGCGGCGACAGCAAAGAAAGAGGTCATTTCATATATTGGAATAGTCAATGTAAGGAAGTTTATCTTATTAGAAGCTCGAGGAGTGCACAATATACTGAATCCTGAAATTACATAATTTCCAAGAAATCGATCGTTTTTGTTCGAGGTCCTTCATATGCTAGACATAGACTGGTTCATCCAAGTTCGTAACATAGGTAGGTTTAGGTATTTGTACAGCTGTACATGGATTCGCAACCGGCATGGAGAATGCATATGTGAGTATACAGGCATCATGGGATACCTGATTGGGTAGTTTCGCAGAATGTCACCCCGGAAGAGGACAGGACGCTCTAGACGGAGGACGGGGAGACTTACAGCCAGCACACAGATACAACCTGATTCAACAATTCTTGGCAGTTCAATTAATAAGACATACTAAGGAATCTTGCAGGTTAATATATCGTGTAGGAAGGAAGCTCTAGGCGATTTTACCCTTTCATCGTAGAATCTACATGTATTCGGTTCGATACATGTAAGTGCCTAGGTCGGGCACTATACGTCCCCGGATTCCTACCTCACTCCAGCTTTTTAATATGCATAGTTACCTAAGGCACCTACCCATTAGGAGATCACGAGGCACAACCTCAAGCTCGAACAGGCATCGCGTCACGTGTCCAACCGAGTGATACTATATCATACTAGCAGCACCTTCCGAAGGCAAGCACGCAGGTAGACAAACCACCTATCAAACCGCACGCGTGATGGCAATCTTACGATCTGGAAGGCACATTCCTACCCTACGCACTACCTGGGTAGGTACCTCCTCAACCACGGCTTCCCCCCCATCAACGAGGACTACCTAATCTAGATTTATCGACGGCAACAAGCAAGTTCTTGGCACCAACATGTCATATGGCGTCGCGGGTAAGGGGGAGGCGCTCGTCGGTCTCCCACGTCGTTTTTTCCGGAAACGTCGGAACCCGCCTGCCGCCTGCCCCATGCCAAAGCCCGTTTAGAGCAGTGGTTTAGCTCGCTGGCCTCCGATTCTCTCCTTGAATCCTCAAAGCCAGAAGTCATTGGTTCGAATCCGATAGCGGGTGTCATTAATTTTTTTTTGGTCTCCTGGTTTTAAATTGCGCCCGGATGTATGGTTATATTATTCCATGTCCCTTGCGCCGTGCCTTCGCCCTCTTTAAGCCTCCCACTTTTCGCCTCATCGGTACTTTGATTAGTTCGGGTCGCACGACAATACAACTCACGAGATCCAGCATTTCGCTACCTGCATGTACTATGCCCATGTATTTACCAAAACCTGTTTTCTCCATTTTTTATTTTCCCTTTTCAGGTTTTTGCTCTCATTGTTTCTGAAGAAGTGCATTTCACATAGAAGGAGTATGGGCGGGCTGATTTATAGGCCTATTATAAATTTTATTCATGTACGATAAATGCTGTCTCCTAAAATGGTACCTGAGACTGATAAAGAGTGGATGGGAATCGACCGGTCAGATCCCAGTAAGCCAACACATCCCGCCTTTGCCCACTCATCTCCTTCGAAGCGAAATCGTTTACAAGCCGCCCCTGCCCTTCCGTATACCAATATTAGAGCCCCAGGGTGGTGATTGGTTCGCCTGAGGCTTCGGATGCCTTCATGTTAGGTTCCATTTACTGTGGGCCAAGACCAACGGGAGTCTGGCAGAGAACGCTCTGACCCAGCTGCAAGGGGTTATTCATGTTAGCTAGAGTTATGACTTGAAAGCGTATAGTAGGAATAGAGGACTAGACGTACAACTGGGAGAACACAGCAGCGGGCTCGCTGGCCGCCGCTGGCGCAAATGTCCCGGAAGCTGGTGACGCTGGTAGGGACCGCCGAGGCTAAAAAGGTAGAACAAGATTAGCTAGAGCTCAATGCTTGAGTCGTACGTTTCGTATTCCCCATCACTCACGGGAGCCGCAGTCGAGGTCGGCAACGCCGAGAACGTCAGTGGCGCAGCACTGCGGGCTTGAGTACAGCAAGTCGGTGCAGGCAACATAGGGGGTGCCGCCGTTGCCGCCGTCGCCGCCGTCACCGCCGCCATTGCCAGGACCGGTAGAGGGGTATGGGTTGACGGGCACGAGGGTGGTAGTGGGGTATGGGTCGGTGGGCGCGGCCATGGCAGCAGTGGCAAAGAAGCCGAGGAGGGTAATAAAGGTGGTTGTCTTCATTTTGGAAAAGATAGTTGAGAGACGAGGAGGCTTCAAGGAGCGGCGAGAGTTTTGAGCGAGAGGCTTACGGGAGAGGATGCTGAGGATGCTGGTGATCTTGGGTGGTGAGTGAGAGAGGAACTGGACGAAATCAGGGAGATGTTGGGCCGTTTATATAGACATTTGTAGCTCCAGAATCCCCAGGATGACATTCGTATAGATGTCAATATTGAATGGTCTCTTGGGGGGGGGGCCGAGGGATGATCCCCTTTCCTCCATCTACCTGCGTACGAGCCACCCCTTTTGCTAGTTTCCATCACTAATTCATTATACAGCCCCTTACTACCCGTGTCATGGTGGTGACGGATGGAACCTATCACCTGCGTGTGAAGAATCTCGATCCTGCAACGTTTACTCTCGCCTGAGATCTCAATTATCCTATAAATCGACGATCTCTTCCCTCTTGGGGCGTCGTTCCCCGTCTCTACATTTACCCAGCTCCAATGATCTGTGTAGCTGTCGTTACTCGGGCTGCTTGGCTTCAGCTGTTTGCCTATAAACTTGGCAAGTGCTGAAATAGGTATCAAGGGGGTAGCTGCTATGTACAGGTACAAGGCCTCCGCAGCCGTCATGTATACAATAGACAGGTCCTCCCACACTCTCTAGAGAGCTCACCACCTAATTAAGCAACCTCATAACCCTGTATTTCAATAGCAAGGAGGGTGGTTCCTGATTGGGGTGAGGTACCTCTTCTGATTGGGTCTTTGGGACTGTGGCTAGAAGCTGTGGAGTGCAATGTTACCACGGAACCGTTGCCGTGACCCAGCAAGTAAGATCTCGCAGGACCACAAACTACTTTCCCGCTCGCTGCGTGGCTTTTTGACCGATGGACTCAATCGACACGAAAGGAAGCGGTAGGTAGATGGCTAGTCGTGCGCTAAGGGATCGACAGTTCCCCACCGTAATAAGGATGACACGCGCATATATTGAATTTTCATAGCGACTTTGTCATAGCCATAATTACACATTATAATTGTTATAATAAAGCTATTCGGATAAATGCGTTATTATAATTTATATTATTACGGCTTAGTTTTAATACTTAAAAATTATATATAACTTATTAGCGATATAAAAAACCTTTTTTTATATAATTTTTTTTATATAAATAAAAAGCAAGATATAAAGATTTTAACTTTGATTTTTAAGGTGTTAATTATACGTATTAATATATTATAAATTAATTAAGTACATTTAACTTATATAGAGAATTTCAAAGTAAGTATATTAATTGGCTAAAAAAATTACGGGGAACCGCCAAGCTCTTAGCGCACGACTAGCCATCTACTTACCGGAAAGGAAGTTAGATCCTCACCGTACATGTTGTCCGTGCTTACTGATAGCCACCTCACTGTGGCTAGCTGCGGCAGATGCGGTTCAATGAGCTGTTATGGATCGATCTAGGGGCTGACTACGTGTAGGGCTTACGCTAATCTAGCGGGATCCCTGCTAGTCTTGATGTGCTTTGTCAAGCAACCAGGGGGCGAGGAACTGATTCCCATGGGTATTTACCATATCACATATGTATACAAAGACCATCTCTGGGGGTCTCTTTGGCAAGGCCACGGCGATCTCGGGTAGTTAGAATATCTACTAATTCACATACCCTTGATGCGGAGTGTCCTAGACTAGCCGGGCATGCAGCCAATTGGGTTCGTCCCCTTCAGCCTCTCGGATACTGCTCATTATTTGCCCTCCCATGCAGCACTTTATAAGCCTAGAACAACGACGGCTACTTACTGGAGAATCGAAAGGTATCGAACGATTGCTATTTATAGGCGTCTTTGTGTCTCATAATGCCCTGAGAACTCTGGACGTGCTCTTATTTTCTACTTCATGCGAGTAAGAGGTTATTACCTATTGGAATATGTATTTGAATGTGCAGAGACATTTGTTGGACCTGCATAAAATTGCTGTGTTGTTTACATACCCCCACACGATTCTTTCTCGTAAAGAATAATTTCATGACGAGATGACTATTATGACCCCTATCAGGAACATGAAATAAGCATATATGCAATGTAACCCCCCAAGTTCGACGTTGCGGCTTTACGAGAGCGAAGCGGCTACAGCGGAGGCTTGTGCCCAAATCTGCAGATGGAAGGGGGGTCCCGTATGCAGGTGATATTTTCGGTTCATCTCTTAGACGGCCTTGGCCCTGTTGATTGGTTTACACGTGTGATTTCTCCTCACGCAGCTGATGATGGGTAGTAACAATAAACACATATGGGATTGGGGGATGGCGCTCGGGAATCGATCTAGCCGAGTGACCATTGCATTTGCCTGTTTTCTGGAGGAAGGCATGCGGAAAACCCAAACCATTATCATCAAGGTGACATCACCACAATTCTCCTTGTTGTAAGCTGGGGGCGACGGGAAACTTGCTTTTTCTTCTGCCACAAGGCCCAAACTCCTGGTAACGGGGCCATTTGTCAATCCTGACAACTTGTGTGGGTTGCACAGAATTATGCATAGAATGAAGTCCTTAGATGAGATATCCACCAAAATCTGGTTGGGTTCGTCTGTCTTTAGCCAGCGTTTCTAGAACCAATACAAATAAATATTTTCCAGCTTCTATAACAAAGTTTGGACTAATCTCCATACAAATTCTGCCTAGGAGGTGATTATAGAATGCAAATTTTGGGTCGAATACCCTGGTTCCGATGCGCCAAGACCAACTCCCATCGATGTGGATTAGACGTGACGTTTCCCTGAACCAGAGAGACAGAATCTCTGGTTCTCGGTAGGAAATCATATATGGAACTTTCCACAGCCCGTATCCAACTCGGGGTATATTCACACCGTCTTATTATCTGCCTCGTCTCATCACGTTGCAACGAAAAAGCTGGTAATTAAGTAAGATGTTTCCCCAATCCAACCTCCAGCCCACGTTATGACTAGCCACAAAAAGAAAAGGGCCAAACCAGCCCGATACGATTATAGACTACTCGTTAGGTCTGTCATTTCGTCTTCCACTGATCCTTTTGTTGGCGTTCGTGGTTGTCGCCGACGCCAGACCGCTAGAAGTGACACGATCGAATCGTATTATGCGAACGTCCCGTCAACCCGGATCATACCATTCACTGAGCACGAACCACACAATCTCCGCTTGATCCGAAAGTACTCATGGCAGTCAAAGAAGGTATATAGAAGCTAAAGAGGATACTAAGAAGACGGGCAGTCCGCAATCAGATCATACGGGCACCGGTGTAAATATGATATGGTACACGCCTGTCATAACGATACTTCTCTAAGTTCGAGGAAAACTAAGGGCTTGGTAAAGTCAAGCTCGTGAATCTATGCCTGGGTCTCGCCAGATATTACTTTATTCAGCCCGTCGACATTGTGATCTGCTTATGAGGTACTCTCAGCCGTGAACACCGCGGCGGTATATGGATATATTCCCCGATGTACTCTACGCTATACGGCCACGCTCCAGCTTGCCCACCCGGTGAGAATATAGCCCCTTGTGGTAGGGATATACTTGCTAGGTTGGGACGGGCCTGAGGGCAAAACGTGGTAGCGGTTACGCCTCGAGTGAATGGCGGGCGTCCGCAAGCTGACACACGCCGCTACAACTAGAAGAAAGGCATGGAAGAGGACGGGCTTGATTAGTATGTGAGCGACTGGAATGGACTATCGTCTTGCAGTCAACTTAGCACGTCCCGATGGATAAGTCACTCCGTGTAGCATAACTAGGTATATAAGACGGGATTCATCCTGGGGGAACAACCCCCAAAAACGCCACCATATACTTGGAAATACTTGATGTCATGAACTCCGCTCAAAAGCATGGAACATAGTGTTTGTTTGGTATATAAGATGTACCATTCTGGCTTCTTTCTTTTCATTCCTCCTC